CTATTGTGGGTGGTCACCATGGTTTCCCATGTTGTAAGAATACAAGAAAGCCCTGTTGGATCAAACCCAAGATCCATCTTGTCCAGCACTCCATGCACACAGTGGCAAACCAGTGGCCCAGAGGGTCCCTCAAGCAGGATGGGTACCAGATCTCTGCCTGCCCAAGTTCCTCAGCAACTGGCGCATGCAGGCATTCCACCTCTGGTAAGGGAACAACACAGCCAATGGTATCTGTAGAGGCTGTTTAACAGCCATGTGAGTCACCCTTGCTGGGTTCACACAAGACGATGAGCAACACGACAGGCACCACCCACCACAGCTGAAATAGTCAGACAAGCAGCCAGCACACACCGCGGCCCACTGTGTTTACATGACCTGATTACCCACCATGGTTTATAAGCCACGGTGCATTAACATTTTGATCAAAGCCAGCATTGTTCCTGTGGGGTGATTTATAAGCCACCTTGTATGGTGTTTAAGCCACTCCAGTTACTCATGGCTTATACCTTGGATCTCATTCATCCAGTGTGATTTAGAATTTTGTTTGAACCTGGAAGACACATGAGCCACAGTCAAGCAAAAAATGACAAACCCATTACCCGGAGCAGCAAAGCAGTGCTCTTCTCTGGTGAAGGGGTCCTAGCTGATGATGGCCAGCACAGCATGTCCTGTTTCCCACAGTGCAACCCTGCTCTCTCAGTCATCACCAGGAGCCTGGAGGAAGCCGCCAGTCCCACAGCACACTGCCTCCCCAGGTCCCTTATGACAGAAAAGCCAGCCCGTCTCCCTTCCTCATGAGGAAGTCAGGCCGAATGACTGCATTCTGCTTGCTGCTGCCACCACTGTGTCAGGATCTGAGGCAGCTTCACAGCTTCCTCTGCTGGCCAAAGGCCAGAATGACAGGCCTGGTAGTTGTGGGGTTGGACCCACAGCCTACTACAGCTATTAGAGCCCTTATAAGCGGCACCTGGGAGCCCTTAAGCACTGGCTCTTCTCTCATGAAGGTGTCTCAGCAATGAAGGTCTCATGACTTGTGGCGGTCCCTCTTGCTATGTGGCCACTCATGGTCTGGCTCCTGCATCCCTGAGCTCTGTTCCAGCTCCTCCAGTCCTGCGCCGGCTAGGCTCCACTCTTGCCCCAGTCACCCTGGCTTTGTCCCAGCTCTGCTCCAGTTCCTCCAGCCCTGCTCTCGTTCCTGTGCTTGAACCTTACTCTTGTTTCTACTTCTGCACCCTGCTTGTGATCTTGTGCCTGCTCCTAGATCCTGCCTGGCTTCCTAACCCTGGTTTCCTTCTTCTCCCACTCCAGCCCTCAAGGTACCTGCTTGTCCCCTCAGCTTGTCTCCTGGGTTTCCCGATTCCTGGCTTGTTGACCTTTTGAGCAGATGCTGTCTGATGTGCCAACCCCCGGTTCTGCCCTTGGACTGCTTAACTGTGCTTTCAGACTGACTCTTGAACTCTAACCTGGTTGCCAGCCAGTCAGCTGTCCATGCCCCAGATGCTGACACACTGCCGTGGGGTGGGAGTGGGCGAACCAGCTGCTTTAACAAGAAGGCAAGCAGAGTACCTCACCCACCCATCCACTTTCCCTCTTCCCCCCCAGGTGGAGACACAAATGGGGCAAGAGGCGTCTCTTGCCTTCCTTTTGAGCAGCAGAGCTGGTGCTTCGAGTGCCAACCCTGCCAGGCCATGTGGGGTCTCAAACACCCCGCTCATCTCCAAAAGCAATCCTGCTCTGCTGCCATTGGCAGGTGCATTGGACTGCAACTCAGTACCAACCTCCGGCTCCTGTCCTGCTGCCTGCCGTCCTTGGTGCATCCTTCAATAGGACCAAGGCAGGGGAGGGGGGGAAGAGGGAGGTGTGTGAGGAACCCTCCAGCCCAATGTCCCCCAAAGAGGAACAGTGTTCTTCATTCTGTGTCAGGGACAGGGAAATTTTACCTGCAATCACACCAAAAAAATTGCAGGGGAATTTTAATGTGGCGTGTGAACCCACCCAGTATAAGGCAGCTTTAAACATCCATGTACATTCCTACAATTTTCATAAAAGAGTAATATCCTGTCTTTTCTAAAGCACCTTTTTCAGTTGGTGATTGTGAAAGGATGATTGTCCGGCTCCCCACTGCTGAGCCATGGTTGTGCTATCATTGGCTATTGGGCCCTTGCCCATCTTGGTTAATAAATAATGTCAAACATGGGATTGGGATCTGGATCTTGGAAGTGGTTAACGCTTCTCTGAGGGAGGGTTGGGTACCTGCCCCTTTAAGGAGGCGGTAGTCCGACCGGTCCTGAAGAAAGCGTCACTGGATCCAGAGATGGCCACTAATTATAGACCAGTGGCCAACATCCTGTTTCTGGGCAAGGTGTTGGAGCAGGTGGTGGCGGGACAACTCCAAGCTCTCTTGGATGAAACTGATTATCTGGACCCATTTCAGTCCGGCTTCAGACCCGGGTACGGTACTGAATCTGCCTTGGTCGCCCTGTACAATGACCTGTGCAGGGAGAAGGACAGGGGGAGTGCGTCCCTGTTGGTTCTCCTGGACCTCTCAGCGGCTTTCGATTCCATCGACCATGGTATCCTTCTGGATAGGCTAGCGGGATTGGGGGTCAGAGGCACTGCTTTGCAGTGGTTCTGCTCCTATCTCAATGGCCGGTTCCAGAAGGTGGTGCTGGGGGACTATGGCTCTGCACCATGGCAGCTATGCCATGGAGTACCGCAGGGGTCCATTTTGTCCCCTTTGCTGTTTAACGTCTACATGAAACCGCTGGGAGAGGTCATCAGGAGGTGTGGGCTGTGGAATCATCAGTACGCTGATGATACCCAGCTCTACCTCTCATTTTCCACCAATCCAGGTGAGGCAGTGGCTGTGCTGAACCGGTGCCTGGCCGAGGTAATGGGCTGGATGAGGGCCAATAAACTGAAGCTCAATCCAGACAAGATGGAGGTCCTGTTGGTTGGCGGATCGGGCTTCGGAGAGGGTGAATTGAACCTAGTCCTGAATGGGGTTGCACTCCCTCTTAGGGACAAGGTCCACAGCCTGGGAGTGCTCCTCGACCCGGAGCTTTCATTGGAAGCTCAGGTGACAGCGGTGGCGAGGAGCGCTTTCCTTCAGCTTCGGCTGATTCATCAGCTGCACCCCTACCTGGAGTACGACTGCCTGGCGACAGTGACACACGCGCTGGTGACTTCCTGCCTTGACTTCTGTAACACGCTCTACATGGGGCTACCCTTGAAGACGGTCCGGATACTTCAATTGGTTCAAAATAGAGCTGCCAGGCTGCTGACGGGGACTGGGCGTTATGTTCACATGACTCCAGTCCTCCGTCAGCTTCACTGGCTTCCCATTGAAGTCCGGGCCCAATTCAAGGTGTTGGTGATGACCTATAAAGCCCTAAACAGCTTGGGTCCTGGTTACCTGAAGGAGCGCTTACATCCATATAGGCCCGCCCCTTGAGATCTGCGGGAGAGGCCCTTCTCCGGGAACCCTCCGTGAAAGAAATTAGGAGGGTGGGTACTCGGAGGAGGGCTTTCTCTGCGGTGGCGCCCAATCTATGGAATGCGCTCCCCAGAGAGGTCCGCCTGGCGCCGTCGTTATTTGTTTTTCGGTGCCAGGAGAAGACCTTTTTATTTAACAATTAAAATAATTGTTAATATTATTTGCTTATTTTATCTGGCCAGGGCGACTTATTTTATATTGTTATGTCTTGTATTTAAATTTTATGTTGTGAGCCGCCCCGAGGCTTCGGCGAATGGGGCGGCATAGAAATGTTTTAATAAATAAATAAATAAATAAATCATGAGAAAATGAATTCTAAGGTCCTCACATTTCCAGTGCTAAAAATATTAGGATATTTATTCAGAGTTACGTCTGCTGCCTTATCCAAGCCATAGCCACAACATGATTTGACCTGCTTGGGATATGTCATATTTTTTAAGGTTTCCTTCTTGGAATGCCAGTTCTTATTTAAAATAGCAAATGGTAATTCTTTGGTCTTTTCACTTATGAAGTGATCAGAAACAGCATGGAGACAGTATTCAGTGGCCAGCGTACCATTGGGCATAGCCGGCAAACAGCAGTCCCTTTTAAAAAACATTGCATTTTATTTAGTTAATTTTTAACAGTTGCATCACACTCTGGCTCTGTCAGAAATAAAGTACACCATACAGCACCAAGCTGCACACACAAAACAGCATCAGCTGGCTCAGCAGCCTCCAGAGATTTGAAGACACAGAAAAAGCCTTGAAGGGCAGGGAATATCTTAAGGATATGAGGACCCAGTGAGGGCTGAGCGTTTTAGGCCATGCCTAGGATACTGACTGACAGAGGGGGTGGGACATGGCAGGAGAAGGACGGGAATGGCATAGCCAGCTAAGGACTTGGCTGGCTGTTAACTGCCGTACCATTAATGGGACTACTATGTTCTGAATCGTGGTTGCAGGCATCACTTCTTCAAAGCATATTAAGAGTGCAATACTATTCATGTTTAAGCAGAACAAATCCTACAGTTCCCAGCATTTCCCACACTGGCCGACGATGGCTCTGAATTGCACGGCTTTTCTTATTTCTACACCCGTAACACATGCTGCCCTAAACCAAGCTGTCTGTATTGATCCGCCTACTTCTGGCTGCTGCCTTCGCAGGCCTGTTGCCTTCGCGGCCGCATAAGTGTGCTCACAATTGCGGCCCTTCCCAAGTTGCCGGGGAGCGCAGTTATTTGCAGGCTAGGAAAAGCAGGAGCTTTCCGTGTCGCGGACGCGCAAAGCTCGTGCTGCCAGGTGCCGCAGGCCACGGCCCTGTTTGCTGCGGTTTTCGCCGCGTTCATGCCGAATTTAGGCAAACGGACAGCGAAAGTCGCCCGTGCCATTGTAGCCCCCGGGCCCTGGGCAGCCTTGAGCCGCGCGCCGCCCCCTCCCCAGGCTTCCCGCCCCCAGCGGAGGCCGCCCCCTGTACGCTCTGTTTTCTCCGTCGCCGCGACGGGAGCGGGCACGTGCGGAAGGCGGGCGCGCTCCCGCGGCCGGGCCGAGCCCAGCCGTCCCTTCCCCCTCTGCCCGGGGAGGGGAGCAGCCGCCAGCGGGAGAGGAGGAGGAGGAGGACGGCGCGGCGGCGAGGGTAGGTGGCAGAGGCGGGGTCGTGCGCAGCGCGCCTTTCCCTCTCCCGCAGCTTTCTCCAGAGTGTCAAAGTGCGGCGGGAGCGTGCGGGGACGGCCTCCGGAGGCGAGGCCCGGCCTGGCTGGGAATGGCGGGGCCGGAGATGTGGCGGCGACGGCGGCAGCGGTTCCCAGGGAGGGGACTGATCGATCGCAGCGCGGGATGCTGGCTGGCACCGCGACTTGGGCGGGAGGAAGAAAGAGGAGGGCCTCATCTTGTGCAGGCTGGCGGGAAGGCTGCGATGGCGGCGCTCGCAGGCACTTTCCCCCTCCCGCACTTGGTCTTCCCGTCCTGCTCTCCTTTCTGCGCGGCGGCACAGGTTGTTGGCCTAGTTTTGTACCTCCGAGAGAGATGCGTCTGGCGTCTGCATTGTACCGCTGAGGTTGGACGGGGGGGGGGCGGTCACTTGATGATGGGTTGCCACCCCCGCCACGCCACGTAGAGATAGATACATGCACGCCCGCGCACGTTTCCCGTCCGTAGAAAGGAGCGTGCAGGTTGGAGGCTAGGCTTTAAACCTGCTCCCCGGGGTTTTGATTTCCCACAGGTCGGTTTTTCTGCTGGCTTGTTTATAAGAGTGCTCCATCCCTTGAGCCCGCTACCTGCGGCTCAGAAGGGTCACACCAGGGCACATAAAGGAAACTAACATGTCGTGGAAAGCTTTGGCTAGAAGCTTTTTGCCTCAACGAGCAGTTCAGTACATAGAAGGGATAGATATACTACAGTATCAGAAGCACCGATTACTTTTCCTAAGGCCCATCTGCAGCCTTTTAACTTATTTCAGTATTAAACCGCCCGATAATTGAGGCTCGCTTTGTCCTCTCCTGAGCAAGGCGGGGGGGGGTGCACAAACCTGCACCTGCTGCTGCCTCCAAACAGAGCAGAGTTTGCTCAGGTGAGCGAGCTCCGCCCACCTGGCCTGGCCCTTTGTGTGGCAGGAAGCATTGTGCCTTCCGAGTGAAAAGGGTGGTGGCTAGGAAGAAGGCGGCCAGGGGTCACCATGAACATGTTGCAGAAGACTCATGCCCCAGCTTGGGAAAGGTCATGTCTCACTTGCACGGAATATGAAACAGCAGGGCTGTTAAGGGTAATGACCCTGCCTCCCCTGTGAACTGTGACTTGGCATCAACTAGTTCAAAGTAGACTTAGTTCCCAGGGAAGCAATCAGCCGGCTTTGGGATAAACCAGCGCAAACTGCAGGTGGACACTTCCATGATGGAATGCTCCTCCGTACAAATATTTCTTCTACATAGAAACCCAAATGCCAGGAAGAAAAAATAAAGCTTTGCTAGAGCTAGGGAGTCCTTTTGTGCAGGTCTCTTTATTTCATAGCAATACCACCCAATAGCAGAAGTATAGCCCAGACTGCCCTAGCCTCTTCCAGATGTTTTGGACTTTCCAGCATTCCTGATCATTGGCTGTGCTGATGGCAGTTGAAGTCCAAAAGATCTGGAAGGTACCAGGTTGGGGAAAGCTGGTGCAGCTCAAATACAGGTTTGGTTTGGTTTGGTTAGGTTTGGTTTTGTCATCCATGAGAACTAGGACTTTTGTCTTGGCATATGTTTGAGCTTGGAAGCCCACCTGTTAATACGAACAAACTCTGTTCATTCTTCCTGTGGGTTCCCATTTTCTTTATACAAATGGAAAATGTAGGCAGTTTAATGAAACTAGACTATTACTGTATTACGCATGTTTATTTAAAGTAAATGTGCATATTATTACAGCCTTGATACCGCAGTGTAAAACAGATTACTAAATAATTGCCTTATAGAACTCAGCAGGTGATTTCAGTGTATTTTGCTATTCAGATGTCTTGCGTCATATGACTGCCTCCTATTTACTTACTTTGTGTTTGACTCTGCATGTTAGAGAAATCAGTGGCTGACATGTATTTGAATAACAGGCAGCCTTACCTACAGGTCCATACCTGTTGGTACCAGTCATTCTGAAAGTTTTCATCCTGTTTGTCTGATAGAGCTGTATGTATCCACTCACAAACTGAAGGGAGGCTGCTAACTGGGTCAGCTCTTATTTTTTAATATTAACATATGCATGAATACAGTTGTGTACCCATACAGACAAGAATATCTGCTGTGGTGTGCAGCAAAAGGCAGATCTTAAGGTATCTGGGATTTCAGAGTATCTGATAGTTGAACAGTATTCCATACAATTATGAAAACCTACTTAACATGTGAGGGAAGTGTATTTGTTTGTTACTTGTTTTAAAGACTAACATTGTAACAGCAGAGAGGGAATTGGGGCAAAAGAAGGATTAGGTTAGAAACATTTCAAACCATTTTCCTGAAATACACAGCAATTATATTGTAGAAGAGCTAGTCTTTGTTTACATGCTAACAAATTTCATGATGAGGCTATGGTATTGTTCACATTAGTTTAAGAGTTAATTCCATGGAATTAGTAGAACTTGCTTCCAAGTAGATATGCATAGGATTGAGCTGTAAAGCACACAAAAACAAGGTTAACCAGAAGAGAATAAAGGATTAATTGTGGCTTGCTTGCAGATATATGTGCTTCAAGTCTTATTTAAAGAATAGCTCCTGCAGACATACTTTTGCCCAATCTGTTTAGCTTTGTTTTATTCTTGCATGTGCAATTCTGCCTTAGGTGAAGAATAGTGGCTTTTCTTCTTTTGGATCATCCCGAGGTCATTAATCTCAGCCATGGAGCCAGCTGGGTGACTTTGGGCCAGTCACAGACTTTCAGCCCAACCTACCTCACAGGGTTGTTGTTGTGGGGATAAGATTGAGAGCAGGAGGAGGATATAAACCGCTTTGAGTATTTTGAAAGAAAAAAGGTGGGATATAAATCTATTGACTAAATAATAAACTTTTATGAAAGATTCTGAGATATGAAAGAATTATTCTTGTCCAGATGCAATCTCCCTGATTGTTTTAGAACAGAAGTACCAGGGGTACAATGCTGAATTGTATTCCTTGAATAATAAATGTTGTTGTCTTCAGCTAGAGCGCTTTTTTTAGTGAATTCCATATATCAGGAGGAAGTGTTTCATCTGTCAGACATGATCCTGTTTTGTGCCTACTCTGGTCACATGGCCAGTTCCAGAATCCTGTGGGCCGAAGCATCCTTTATTTATTTATTTTCCTGAATGCATTCCAAGACTGCAGCCTACGTATTTCATAAATGTGGCATTTTGGCTTTTCGAATAATGATAGTCACCTTGAAATAATTCTAAACAGTTACAGTAAAAGAGAACTTCCAAAAGGGTGACCAGGTTACAGCAAAGGGGAAAAAAAGATTTTTAGCACTTTGTAGGCTAACAGATTTACTGCTGAGCAAAACAATACTATATAAATATATAGCACTCCACTCCCAAACAATAGAATTCAACTAGATATTCAAAGCTATATTAAAAAACAAAGTCTTGTGACAACTAAAAGGTTGATTTATTATGGAGTAGAGTTTTTTTCCCCCAAATGCAGAAGTGTTATCCAGGTTGACAGGTATATTTACATGTTTGTAGAGGAAAAATAATGTAAATTGTGAGGTCAAATGGAAATAAAATGAAAAAAATGCAGAGCATGATAATTTCATTGAAGCTTATATTTGTGTGATGATTTATGTAGAATGAAGTAAACATATAATGTATTTAAGCTTTAATGTAATTGTCACAATCTGTATTATTTTATATCTCTTTCACCTCACTGCATACATTGTTTTTCTTCTTATCCAGAGTGCTTATATACCTGCCAACCTGGATTAACATTTGGTGCATCTGAGGAATGTCTCTAGTCCACAAAAGGTTATATCACAATAAGTCGGGCTTTATGGTGCCACAAAACACTCTTGTTTTTGCTTCAACAGGCATACATGGCTTCCCATAGGGAAATAATTTTTTAAATGAAGAGATTTTCTGACGGGTTCACTAAGCCTTTCTTCATGTGTAAAGACTCATAAAAACTGTCACAGAAAAAATAAAAAAGTAAAATAAAACCTACTTTCCTCCTGTAATTCTTTGGAGCACAAACTACAATTTTTGTGATTGGAAACATGAATGAATTGAGTGGCACACTTTTTGATTACAAGTAATTTACAGTCATATCACAGGGATCTTGTTAGGAGGATAAAAATAGAGTGAAGAACTATATAACGTGTCTTGGGTTCCTTGCAAAAGGAATAAAGGCAGGATATAAATGTAATGTTTGAACAATAATCTTCTATATGTCTATTGACATTTAAGGTGCATTGGGTTTGAGATATACAGGTACATAGTGTGTACGACTGCAGCCTTGATCCAATTAAAATGAGTGCTCCTGTCCGAAACAGTGGTGTTACTGCAAATCATTGCATAATGAGATGGGTTTTGGCAGGAGGATTCGACACCCCTCATATGTTTGTGGTTTCTTCTCATTTACTGAACTGTGTCTCAACTCCCAAGGGCTTTGAAGGAGCAAGAGAGCATCTGGTAGCCAGCTGTGCAGGATAACATTTTATCTCTTCCTCAGACTTGCTGCCACATGCTTGCTCTAGAACTTTGAAATCTTCTGTGAAGCTGTTCTGGCTGACTTACAGTACACCTAAGCCTCCAAGACCCCTTGACAAGGCTTCAGGATCTCACCACCACCGCTGCCCACCGTCAGAGGCTTCCCAGTGGGGTGTAAGAGAGACAGAAATACATAGTTTATTACCTGACATTAAGGGGCTGTTCATAGATAATGGCAACAAAGCAACAGTTAAGCCAAGATTTGTTGCTGTGTGTGCTGGACAGATTTCACAGCATCTTCACTATTCCGTTCTCAACTGGATCAATGGGGCTTGCCGTTTGAGGTACAAGCCTGAACGTTGGGCTGGTTGACACACAATAGTAGCAAATTGTGTGCTAATCAACATGTTCCAGGTTCATTTTGTGGCCATTTTGAATATTCAGCTTCTGATCAGACTGTTCAGGGGTTGCTTTTTGACATCCTAGCCTGGACACTGTTA